CGCAATATACGTATAGTTATATACTATAGTTGTATACTATACATATAGTTATTCATATGCGTTAACAATCACGCCAATAGGTAAGGACATGTTTGTTTTCATATTACGGATTTTTTTTAATAATTTGTGAAAATTCATTAGGCATACGAAAGCAAGACGGGATATGGGGTAGCCCATACCCCGTCTGACCGAAACCACTCGTGCTACTATGACTACACCAATTCTTAATACTGCTGACATATCGCAGAACAGGGATGTTCGACTTACATACCATGTACGCTACAGGAATCAAATTTTACTATTTTTTTTTACACAACTTAGAATGGCAAACAAGCTGCCGGCCCACCAGATGGAAAGTGGTAACCGTCGCCTACAGACATGAGCAGTACCATGGACATAATACAGTATACTGTTTCGCCCATGATACCCACCATGCGTTGCCATTCCTGAGGACTCAGGTGTTATTCCTCTGTACCCTGTAAATTCACGCCCTACCCTTCAAACCGAAACACAGCCACTTCACGGTAAAAACACGAATGGAACAGAGGTACCCAAGCAATAGACTTCAAACTTGACTTACTGTCACTAGTCCTCAACAAATTGTACTTTTTCCGGCAACCAGAAGAACTATAAGAATAACAAGAAAGAGGGGGAAAATCGCTATTATTACCTCACCATCCTACAAACTAAAATTAGAAGAGAAAATTAAAAAGAAGAAGCTGGTGGATGAGACTAAAGAAAAAAAGAAAATCAATATACCAATTAAAGAAAACCCAAAGAAATGATGTATTTAAGAAAACTAAAGTGATCAAAAAGAAAAAACTTATCAAATCATCATCGTCAGAAATAGTGACTCCGAAAATACACCGTGTTTATATTGTCAAGGTCGATATTTAGAGTCCAAAAAAGGCTGGGTGGCTTGTGCTGCATGCAAAAAATGGGCACATCGCAGCTGTGCTGGAATCGAAGATGAGAATGAGGAAACGACATTTACGTGTGCAGTTTGTCAGTAACCATAAGTTGACAGCTCACCAGCACAGCTGCGATGTACCCATCACCCCATCCATCCTATTACCCCATCTTGCCTCTTAGAGGTACCCCATCTTACCCTACCTAGGGCAAGATAGGGAAGTATGACTGTTTGCATATTTTCATTTTTTTTTTTTCATTTAATTAAACAAGAGTTACAAATAAGGACAAATTATCTAAACACTAATTAGCAATTAATATTATTAAAATAAAAAAAAAAAAAAAACCTAGAAAAGATTAACATAGGTACTAAATTTTATTGGAGTTCACCTAAACCTTAAGTACCCCGTCATGCCCCCTTTCCCACCAATAATAATGTCTCACATAATAATCCCATTCATCGGATGTGTCAATTGTATAACAAAATTAGCGAAAAAATCGATATCTTTCATCAGAATACTATTGGGTTTAAGAGGTCGTTGTATGGTTTTGAGATGGAATAAGTTTGGATTTTTTTTTTTTTTGGATAGAATAAGTTCATAATTGTAATCAGTAATGTAATATACATTCCAATTACAGAAGCGATCCACTGTTACACCCAGAAATGACACATCATGTACTTCTTTAATTTTTTCACCTTTATATTTAATAAACAGTTGATAAACATCATCGTAAACGTTTTTGACTGGAAGATAACAGGTACCTACACCCTTCTTGTATTTCGTCGCCTCGGAATAATTTTCCCCTTCCATATTCTTAACAAAACCCGCCTACTGTAAAGAATGGGATACTGAGGCATACAATACGTTCATTAGTCGTTCAACGCTTACAGTTGTAAGCTCTTGTTTTACACCTTACTTCTTTTAAGCAATAATTTCGACATGGCGCTGTGGACACCATATATTGAAGAATGTCCTCTTGATTTGAGTAAAACAAGAAATAATGAAATAATTCCGGCAGCGTTAGAAAGACCATCTTCTATTGATCTCATACCATTTAATCACATGGATTCTGCGCGTGAGGGGTGTCATCTTCCTGTTCCTGTTCCCGTAGTGCAACAAACTGGATATAGTCATTATTTAGAGGACTATTCTCACATATCAGCGAATTCTGTGTTGACATCGCCAGAATTACTAGAACTACAGGGATGCGAACCGGAGTCATTGTCAGATGATCTAGAATACACAGAATTTGAAAAAGACGCCCTCAGAGTAATTGCGGAAAGAAATGGTGGAATGCTGATAGGGCATAACCCTAAAATGAAAAGAACTATTCAAACAAATGAAGCAGCTGACGAAGCATATCGTATACAGCGGCAAAAAAAATAATTTAGCCGCAAAACGGAGCAGAGATAAAAGAAAAATGCGGGAACTTCGTTCGTCACTACAAGTAACTTATTTAACGAAGAAGGTCGCAGAAATGAAGGCAAAACTGGCTACTAATCCTTGCAAGGATTGTCTTGAACGATCACGTAGCGTCAATTTTTAATTTTTGTGAAGAATTTATGTATTTTAAGTGTGATATTTTCGTGCAACAAAATTTACATAATTAATAAAAATATAATCCTTAAGGACGTGATATAATTGTGTAATTAGTAGCATTAAGGATTTGTTATAAAATAATAAAAAAAAATATAATAATAATATAAATAAAAAAAAATTGTACTACAAAATGTTGTTTTTTTACCAGTGTTTTTGAAACACAATATAAACTGACTGATAATTTAAACTCGTAATTGTCCAGATTATAGTATAAGCAGACAGTATATACAATTTCTAATATTTCTGCGATATTTTTATAGCTGTATGTAAAGACTAGCTACCCGCCCCGGTTTGGCACGAGTGCAATATTTGTTTGTGTAACTGTTAAACTGTTCGACACATTTTAGTAAGGCTGGTATTTTGGCATGTGTAAAAGTACTGCACCAATATTCTCTAATATTTTAAAATGAACAGCCTATTCAGCAATTTTCATGTGCGCGTGTTTATATAGTTCCTCCTGCGCCCTTCACCTCCGTGCCTCGTCTACTATTCTCGCATGGCCTCCTATTCTCACTAGCGCCTGCGATAACGCAATAATTTTATGGGCTTATTGTTTTTATTTCGCATTCTCATCTGACCAACTGCATCAATTAATATACTGTAAAACAAACTTTATCTTCATGAAATTTCCGTTTTGATTTACCTATTTGTTTTTATTTTATGTGTAAAGTATACGTCAAGTCTGTACTAAACTTATTATTATAGGTAATACATATGTATTTCACTTTTAAAGTAAAAGCCATTTTTTTGGCTGAAATACAAAACATAGATAGGGGAAAGGGGGATAAGACGGGGTAGCGGCTTTATATGTCGATACAACTGATCAATCAGAATCCCGCTAGCGTGTGATGATGCACCGCTATGATGCCAATCAGTTTACGCAGTGACCGGCTAACGACACTGCATCATTCATTATACTTAAATTTGTAAAAAAATATCTTTTGTCATATTACTTGTAATATTTGTATTTTGTTTGTTACGTGTTGGTTGCTAAATGTCACCAGCGCAATATACGTATAGTTATATACTATAGTTGTATACTATACATATAGTTATTCATATGCGTTAACAATCACGCCAATAGGTAAGGACATGTTTGTTTTCATTTTACGGATTTTTTTTAATAATTTGTGAAAATTCATTAGGCATGCGAAAGCAAGACGGGATATGGGGTAGCCCATACCCCGTCTGACCGAAACCACTCGTGCTACTATGACTACACCAATTCTTAATACTGCTGACATATCGCAGAACAGGGATGTTCGACTTACATACCATGTACGCTACAGGAATCAAATTTTACTATTTTTTTTTACACAACTTAGAATGGCAAACAAGCTGCCGGCCCACCAGATGGAAAGTGGTAACCGTCGCCTACAGACATGAGCAGTACCATGGACATAATACAGTATACTATTTCGCCCATGATACCCACCATGCGTTGCCATTCCTGAGGACTCAGGTGTTATTCCTCTGTACCCTGTAAATTCACGCCCTACCCTTCAAACCGAAACACAGCCACTTCACGGTAAAAACACGAATGGAACAGAGGTACCCAAGCAATAGACTTTAAACTTGACTTACTGTCACTAGTCCTCAACAAATTGTACTTTTTCCGGCAACCAGAAGAACTATAAGAATAACAAGAAAGAGGGGGAAAATCGCTATTATTACCTCACCATCCTACAAACTAAAATTAGAAGAGAAAATTAAAAAGAAGAAGCTGGTGGATGAGACTAAAGAAAAAAGAAAATCAATATACCAATTAAAGAAAACCCAAAGAAATGATGTATTTAAGAAAACTAAAGTGATCAAAAAGAAAAAACTTATCAAATCATCATCGTCAGAAATAGTGACTCCGAAAATACACCGTGTTTATATTGTCAAGGTCGATATTTAGAGTCCAAAAAAGGCTGGGTGGCTTGTGCTGCATGCAAAAAATGGGCACATCGCAGCTGTGCTGGAATCGAAAATGAGAATGAGGAAACGACATTTACGTGTGCAGTTTGTCAGTAACCATAAGTTGACAGCTCACCAGCACAGCTGCGATGTACCCATCACCCCATCCATCCTATTACCCCATCTTGCCTCTTAGAGGTACCCCATCTTACCCTACCTAGGGCAAGATAGGGAAGTATGACTGTTTGCATATTTTCATTTTTTTTTTTTCATTTAATTAAACAAGAGTTACAAATAAGGACAAATTATCTAAACACTAATTAGCAATTAATATTATTAAAATAAAAAAAAAAAAACCTAGAAAAGATTAACATAGGTACTAAATTTTATTGGAGTTCACCTAAACCTTAAGTACCCCGTCATGCCCCCCTTTCCCACCAATAATAATGTCTCACATAATAATCCCATTCATCGGATGTGTCAATTGTATAACAAAATTAGCGAAAAAATCGATATCTTTCATCAGAATACTATTGGGTTTAAGAGGTCGTTGTATGGTTTTGAGATGGAATAAGTTTGGATTTTTTTTTTTTTTGGATAGAATAAGTTCATAATTGTAATCAGTAATGTAATATACATTCCAATTACAGAAGCGATCCACTGTTACACCCAGAAATGACACATCATGTACTTCTTTAATTTTTTCACCTTTATATTTAATAAACAGTTGATAAACATCATCGTAAACGTTTTTGACTGGAAGATAACAGGTACCTACACCCTTCTTGTATTTCGTCGCCTCGGAATAATTTTCCCCTTCCATATTCTTAACAAAACCCGCCTACTGTAAAGAATGGGATACTGAGGCATACAATACGTTCATTAGTCGTTCAACGCTTACAGTTGTAAGCTCTTGTTTTACACCTTACTTCTTTTAAGCAATAATTTCGACATGGCGCTGTGGACACCATATATTGAAGAATGTCCTCTTGATTTGAGTAAAACAAGAAATAATGAAATAATTCCGGCAGCGTTAGAAAGACCATCTTCTATTGATCTCATACCATTTAATCACATGGATTCTGCGCGTGAGGGGTGTCATCTTCCTGTTCCTGTTCCCGTAGTGCAACAAACTGGATATAGTCATTATTTAGAGGACTATTCTCACATATCAGCGAATTCTGTGTTGACATCGCCAGAATTACTAGAACTACAGGGATGCGAACCGGAGTCATTGTCAGATGATCTAGAATACACAGAATTTGAAAAAGACGCCCTCAGAGTAATTGCGGAAAGAAATGGTGGAATGCTGATAGGGCATAACCCTAAAATGAAAAGAACTATTCAAACAAATGAAGCAGCTGACGAAGCATATCGTATACAGCGGCAAAAAAAATAATTTAGCCGCAAAACGGAGCAGAGATAAAAGAAAAATGCGGGAACTTCGTTCGTCACTACAAGTAACTTATTTAACGAAGAAGGTCGCAGAAATGAAGGCAAAACTGGCTACTAATCCTTGCAAGGATTGTCTTGAACGATCACGTAGCGTCAATTTTTAATTTTTGTGAAGAATTTATGTATTTTAAGTGTGATATTTTCGTGCAACAAAATTTACATAATTAATAAAAATATAATCCTTAAGGACGTGATATAATTGTGTAATTAGTAGCATTAAGGATTTGTTATAAAATAATAAAAAAAAATATAATAATAATATAAATAAAAAAAAAATTTACTACAAAATGTTGTTTTTTTACCAGTGTTTTTGAAACACAATATAAACTGACTGATAATTTAAACTCGTAATTGTCCAGATTATAGTATAAGCAGACAGTATATACAATTTCTAATATTTCTGCGATATTTTTATAGCTGTATGTAAAGACTAGCTACCCGCCCCGGTTTGGCACGAGTGCAATATTTGTTTGTGTAACTGTTAAACTGTTCGACACATTTTAGTAAGGCTGGTATTTTGGCATGTGTAAAAGTACTGCACCAATATTCTCTAATATTTTAAAATGAACAGCCTATTCAGCAATTTTCATGTGCGCGTGTTTATATAGTTCCTCCTGCGCCCTTCACCTCCGTGCCTCGTCTACTATTCTCGCATGGCCTCCTATTCTCACTAGCGCCTGCGATAACGCAATAATTTTATGGGCTTATTGTTTTTATTTCGCATTCTCATCTGACCAACTGCATCAATTAATATACTGTAAAACAAACTTTATCTTCATGAAATTTCCGTTTTGATTTACCTATTTGTTTTTATTTTATGTGTAAAGTATACGTCAAGTCTGTACTAAACTTATTATTATAGGTAATACATATGTATTTCACTTTTAAAGTAAAAGCCATTTTTTTGGCTGAAATACAAAACATAGATAGGGGAAAGGGGGATAAGACGGGGTAGCGGCTTTATATGTCGATACAACTGATCAATCAGAATCCCGCTAGCGTGTGATGATGCACCGCTATGATGCCAATCAGTTTACGCAGTGACCGGCTAACGACACTGCATCATTCATTATACTTAAATTTGTAAAAAAATATCTTTTGTCATATTACTTGTAATATTTGTATTTTGTTTGTTACGTGTTGGTTGCTAAATGTCACCAGCGCAATATACGTATAGTTATATACTATAGTTGTATACTATACATATAGTTATTCATATGCGTTAACAATCACGCCAATAGGTAAGGACATGTTTGTTTTCATTTTACGGATTTTTTTTAATAATTTGTGAAAATTCATTAGGCATGCGAAAGCAAGACGGGATATGGGGTAGCCCATACCCCGTCTGACCGAAACCACTCGTGCTACTATGACTACACCAATTCTTAATACTGCTGACATATCGCAGAACAGGGATGTTCGACTTACATACCATGTACGCTACAGGAATCAAATTTTACTATTTTTTTTTACACAACTTAGAATGGCAAACAAGCTGCCGGCCCACCAGATGGAAAGTGGTAACCGTCGCCTACAGACATGAGCAGTACCATGGACATAATACAGTATACTATTTCGCCCATGATACCCACCATGCGTTGCCATTCCTGAGGACTCAGGTGTTATTCCTCTGTACCCTGTAAATTCACGCCCTACCCTTCAAACCGAAACACAGCCACTTCACGGTAAAAACACGAATGGAACAGAGGTACCCAAGCAATAGACTTTAAACTTGACTTACTGTCACTAGTCCTCAACAAATTGTACTTTTTCCGGCAACCAGAAGAACTATAAGAATAACAAGAAAGAGGGGGAAAATCGCTATTATTACCTCACCATCCTACAAACTAAAATTAGAAGAGAAAATTAAAAAGAAGAAGCTGGTGGATGAGACTAAAGAAAAAAGAAAATCAATATACCAATTAAAGAAAACCCAAAGAAATGATGTATTTAAGAAAACTAAAGTGATCAAAAAGAAAAAACTTATCAAATCATCATCGTCAGAAATAGTGACTCCGAAAATACACCGTGTTTATATTGTCAAGGTCGATATTTAGAGTCCAAAAAAGGCTGGGTGGCTTGTGCTGCATGCAAAAAATGGGCACATCGCAGCTGTGCTGGAATCGAAGATGAGAATGAGGAAACGACATTTACGTGTGCAGTTTGTCAGTAACCATAAGTTGACAGCTCACCAGCACAGCTGCGATGTACCCATCACCCCATCCATCCTATTACCCCATCTTGCCTCTTAGAGGTACCCCATCTTACCCTACCTAGGGCAAGATAGGGAAGTATGACTGTTTGCATATTTTCATTTTTTTTTTTCATTTAATTAAACAAGAGTTACAAATAAGGACAAATTATCTAAACACTAATTAGCAATTAATATTATTAAAATAAAAAAAAAACCTAGAAAAGATTAACATAGGTACTAAATTTTATTGGAGTTCACCTAAACCTTAAGTACCCCGTCATGCCCCCCTTTCCCCTATTTGGTTTCTCGGAGTCTTTTGTAAAGCTAAATGTAATGTATATTTCTGCTATAGATTTTATCCTTTTATTTCAAACCGTTCAGACGTTTCGGCCGACTTCAATCACACTCATTGTAATTAATTATTGAAAATATATATTTACCGAATTAAAAAGTAGCCTATAGCACTCGGTGATAATATACCCTTAAATTATATCGGATCAGTAGAATCAGAGGTGATCCTGAACATCCAAACTCACATATATTTATAGCAGAAAAAAAGTTTTTCTTCCTTTCAATATCTTTTTCTTTCAGTTAATATGGTAAGAAAGAAAGAGAGAAAGAAATAATTTAATCGAAGAAGCATGCGGCCCACACAGTAGCGCACAAAACAAGAACAAAAGAAATCAAAACAAAACAAACAAAAGAAAAAAACAATTAAATTATAATAATAAACAAACAGTAGGATAACTCTTGAATCCAACATCGATCTCAATCCAAATCTATTGCTAATGACCATTTAATACTGCACTCATGTAACAACAGTTAGGAATTAGCTACAATTAGGATCGGTTTACAATAGTTTGCATAGGCAAGTTGCACCAATAATTCAAGAGTGTGAGTTCTCCAATAATGAGAATTCCAATATCGATCTTAATTTGAGAATTTATTTGAATTTATTTCAAGAGCGACCCTACAGACATATACCAATGTGTACGCGTGCGCGCGCACGTGCCGCAATGTTCTGTGATGTAGGTCCGTGCTGAGCATATTGCTGCAGCGCTTGAAGCGAAAAAAACAGTTATATAAGTAGTGTGTTGGTACTCTATTCATATACAAATCTACATTATACATGTATATATACATACACATATATATACATACACATACATACATACACATATACAGAATAAAGAAAAATGAGATGGCAATATATAATGTCCTATCACCTAACCTAGCCATACTATTATTATTCAATCAGAGCAGCGACGCGGGAGGCTGTGTTCATGCATTGAGCGCAAAAAAACTCAATTTAACAAGTAATAATTATACGGTAGATATTACCGTTATGAACATTAATGTACAATTTTATTTAACGAAGGTGCTACCTAACCAGTGTACCGGTACCCAATTTCCTTTCTTTTGTACCATACCGACTGCACTCAGATGTAATATATTATATATATTATATATAGTATATATAGTATATATATTATTATGTAATATTGAATGCTGCTGATCATTCTCTTTCTGTTTAACATACAGTGAGTGTAAAAAGTATTCGTACACCTAGGGTTATAATAAAAAAAATACGAATTTGATAGACTTTCCTCTATTTATTTAATTTAAATCAATACTGTTAAATAGTTTAACATTCCCGCACTTTGTTTATGATAATTTTTGTTTTTAAAAAAAAAAAAAATTATACAACTTAAAAATATTTTTACGTTAACTAAGCAAATAATGACAAACAAAAAGTATTCGTACATTCATTCTTTTTTAAATGAAATTCTGTATAAATCATTTATTCAATCGAATTTTTCATATGCCTACAATGCCAAGGTAATTTTTAATACGTAGGTATAGATATTAGACGTTTTAGTTGCACTCGTGAGAAGTATAGACGTGTTTAGTTACAAAAATGGGTCGTAAAGCAAAAGAAACGAGTGAAGAGGAGAGAAAAATAATTATTAATTTGCATAATCAATGCAAATCATTATGTGAAATTGCAAAATTTGTCAATAAACCACGTTCAACCGTACAGACTGTAATTGATCGGTTTTCTATTACTAAAACACTAAAAAACAAACCCAGAGGTGGGGCGTCCATCAAAAATCACGCCTCGATTGGATCGGAAAATTTTAAATTGTGTAAAAAAAATCCAAAAATTATTGCCCCTCGAGTGTTACAAGAAATTAATAATATCAATGATTGCCATATTTCTGTCAGTACTGTTCGGAACGTATTACGTAGTAACGATTATCATGGAAGAACTGCGCGTAAAAAGTATTGGGTAAATGATATTAATAGAAAAAAAAGATTAGAATTCGCAAAAAAATATATTAATGAAAAAAATCATTTTTGGCAAACTGTTATTTACTCAGATGAATCGAAATATAATATTTTCAAATCGGATGGACATCATATGGTATGGAGAAAATCTAATATGGAATATAAGAAAGAAAATTTATGTCCAACGGTAAAACACGGTGGTGGGTCAGTATTTGTATGGGGTTGCATGAGTGCTTTTGGGGTGGGAAAACTTGCATTTATTGATGGAATTAGGGATCACAAAACGTATATTAATATTTTAAAAGAGAATCTTCTCTTTAGTGCAGCTCAAATGGGTTTTAACAATAATTGGATATTTTTACAAGATAATGATCCTAAACATAAAGCATGGAATATTAAAGCATGGATCCTGTTTAACGCTCCAAAATACCTAGAGATTCCTCCTCAATCACCTGATATTAATGTTATAGTGCATGTGTGGGATTATCTCGATAATAAAATTCGAAATCGATCAATTTCGAGTAAAGAAACACTAAAAATTGCGCTTCGCGAAGAATGGGCATTGATACCGTCTTCTTATATTTTCAAACTAGTTGATTCGATGCCGCAGAGACTCCAAGCTATCATCAATGCTAACGGTGGTCCAACAAAGTATTAATATTTTTTTAATATT